CCTGACAGAAATTTAAAAAAAAATTATAAGAGGGGTTCTGACTTCCATTCCTCAGCATCATGAGTGGGTTTGAACTTTAAATTTTAATATTTATGCAAAAGAGACTTGTAATTTAAAACAGACCTTTACATTTTAATTAATAGTCTTAATCCCCATCCTGCTCAACCTGTGCCTCCAAACAACTGGAATAAGTGTTACAGAACATGGTGAGATTAGGTACAGAAAAACAATTATGTTCTTATAATTAAATTCAGATGAAGGGTATAGCAGTATATATAGGTTCACAACTCAATAGATGTATAGATGATAGGTGAATTTTTTATGGAAGAGAGAGAAAAGAGAAAAACAGTTCAGTAAATATTTTCCAGACTATAGCCCACACCTCTAACACCTTGCCCCACAACTCCTCTGCCTCACATAATATTGTCTTTGATCAACTCTTCCCTGAGAAGCTTTCCTTTCTAATCTACAACTAGATAGCTCTATCATTTGTCCCACTTTCTGTGTAGATATAAGCATATTTAAATGTCATTAAAGAGTTTATGTAACTTTATCTCAAGGAAAAAGCTAGCAAAACAACATTTACTTAGTTTGCACTCCATTTGACAAAAGACATAAGTGAAACAACTAGAAAACAGACTAAGGTAGAGCTTGGTGCTTTGGTTCAGAAATACATTAGATAAAGCAAGGATTTAGGAAGGAAGGATCTGTTTTGTAATCAGTAAAACAAAAGTCCATTTATCAATCTGAATTGAAAAGTAGGTGAAGAATTTCAGTATTTACTCACATTCAGTAAACATAAAAGGAAACTCATCACCCCCTCCACCACCACAACCATGGGTTATATGTGTACAAGGTTAGATCAAAGTGGTAGCTAAGAATATTACATTCTGCAGTTGTTCAAGGATGACAGTTGAGAAAGTTTGATGACATAGTATAAAAATAACACTTGTTTGAGCATAAATGGCAGATTTTTTTCATGCAATTATGTGAATGTTTTTCATGTCACCCACACCCCCAGAAATCTAAGAAAATAATTTTATAACATTAACAAGTTCTTTATCTCATCAAATTATTATTCTTGTCCTCTGAAATGAAAAGATAACTGCTGTAAACATGTGAATATGTGGAGGCACTGATAAAATAATCAGTAACTATTGGGTTTAATTCAATTTTCAGTTTTACTGCATAGTAAATAACACACATAACCTCTTTTTGAGTAGTTTTTCCACAGTGAAAAAAAAGCATTTGACAAGAGTGAGCTAATAGCAATTTAGGGGCAGATGCAGAAGCAAAAAAATGCATACAATTTGAATGTGCATTGCTGATAAAGAGACTGTGGCCTATTTACTTTTTTATATATTTAAAATGAAGGTAAAATCTTCCGCTCCCAGCTTGACAGTCAGTTTCAAAGAGCAGAAGTCACCTCAACATTTCCTCTGGAGGGTATTATCACTGCGCTCCAGTATCAGCAGAGGGTAGAAGCACATGTGCTCTATCATACTTTGACCTTTACACTGCAAGTCAAGAGAATACTGAACAAGGTTAATTTCCCTATCCAGTATGCCCTTTCTATAGCTATAAAAGAGTTCACAGGATTTGTTCTGTGGATTTTATTTATGTTTGAATGAAATATGTTTGGGTCTACACTGGCAAATTTGCAAGAAAACAAGGCCAGGGAGCATTTCCTCAAATGCTAAAAGGAAGCATTACCACCACCACCACCATTACTTGCCAGAGGCTTTATAAAATATCTTGAAGCTCAAAGTTATTATAGGAAATGATTCATATTTAGGAGAAGTTAATACAGAATAAAGGGTAACATTTCCCCAACTTTTAATTCAGCAATATAATGAAGTACAGTACTGCAGATGAGTAACCCCTAGTGGTCAGTAGTGATGTCTTTTCTGCAATGATCACATTTGAGTTTGTCTATTTTCTTTACGCCAGAGAGATTTGAAATTGGAATTAAAGATCCTTGAGGGAAAAAGCTATTTTTGTAATTTGGCTGGAATGTCCTTGTCTTTGAGTTTCCCATTGCATCAATCCCTTAGCCTGGTATCATAGCCATGATAGCGTTTTGTCTTTCAGATGAAATGCAGAACTAAGGACATGGCTACCGGTGTTTATTAAAGATTCCTTGCTATTTTCACAGGAGTAGGGGGTGTTAGACTCTTGTCTACTGGCCAAATTTTAAACTGGGAGATTACACTCTGCTTTCTTAAATTCCCCAGAAGAAAAGACCATTCATGATATCCTACTTTACTTCCTGTGTTAAAGTGTTGTGTGATGTCAATAAATGGCTTTGATTTTCTACTCTCGAAGTGATCACTTTTTAGTGTGTGGGGAGGAGTACATTGGTATCTACTGTCTGATATTGTATTTGATCCAGTTTCTTTCCCCATAGCTTTTTTAAAGTATAATAGACAGTAAAGTTAGATATATTTCAGGTGTAAAGCTTGTTGTTTTATTATATATATACATTGTGAATAATCACCATAATCAAGCTAATTAATATTTTCTCCTCACATAGCTACTATTTTCTTTTTAAAGTATTGTTTTATGGGCTGGGAGTCTAGCTTAGTGGCAGAGCACTTACTTAGCATGTGTGAGGCTCTGGGTTGGATCCCCAGAAATTTATTTATGTACATTTTTTATTTATTTATGTACATTTTTAATTGATATATAATATTCGTACTTATTTAAGGAGTATAGTACTATAATTTGACACATGTTGACAATGTGCAATGTTGATCCAATCTCAAACAAATTAAAAATATGCTGTGATACATAAGGATAAAGTACAAAACAAAACACCCTAACGGTGTACCAGTTATTTGTGATACTTTCATTTTTTAAAACCAGTTTGCTTTCTTTTCTGCAATGTAGACAAAATCATTAATGGACTTTTCACTCCAATAGTAGTTGAGAATGAATTGCTACTTAGTTCAAACATAAGGTTAAGTCTAACAGTGGTGATGAGCTGTGAGGAGATGAAACCACATATCTCAAACCAGTTAAACCATCTCCTTTTTCTCTAGGCTGCATCTAAACATCCCAGACAGTTGATCTATTTTATAAGATGTTTTTAGGAGGGCATTGTTTATCTTTCCTTGGCAACAGTATTTCTCAATCTTTCCATAAAATCTAAGTTCTTGTTTTTGTTTAACCCTGGTTACATCTACTTTAATGTCAGTATGTTTTGTCCATCACTAACCTTGCTATTACATATTGCTATTAAGGGGCAGCGTAAGATAATGGCATAGGTTTTAGGGCCAGACCCATCTGCATTTAAATACTGGACCTGTAGCTTTGTGCATATAATGTTAGGCACGTTATTCCTGAGGTTTAAATGAGCATTCTGAGAGACATGTTATGAAGATCAGATGAGATAATATATTATTTTGAATGACTATGGGATAAGACAAGGCATGATACTGGGCACCCAGAAAGTGCAATAAATAGTTGCTATTTTCCTGGTTCTGTACACAGATCTGACTTAATTTATAAACCCCTCGAGAGTGGGAAGTGTATTTCCTGTGTATGCCTTGCATTTCAACAGAAGTGTAGTGTGCACATAGTATGGCACAGACGCTCAATATTTACTGAATGAATAAACTGCTTTTTTTTTTTTATATTTTCCCACTGAGTGAAATGAACAGCCCCCAGCTATTTGCAGGATCCCACACATTTGATCAAAGGTGTCAAAATCAATCTTATGGTGTTTACAAATAGGCAGATACTTGACTTCGTGGAGATATTTTGGCATGGAAATGACACAGTGCAAATAGTATGCTTTCTATCAGGTTCATTTCCATGAATTTTAGCATTCAATTATTGTCACTTTAAAAAGCATCATTCTCAGCACCCAGAATGGGAGTGACTTACTCATATGCCTCCTCATTCATCCAAGTGTTTTTTTTTTAATTCAGAAATTTCAAAAGAACTATCTAATTATATACCTGAACAAAATCTTCCACTTTGTGACGAGGTACACTACCTGCTCTATATTTCAAATTGCTTTCCCAAGCCAAGAACCAAAACCCCAATCCAGAAAAGCCCACCGCTGCAAATCCCAAAGCACAATTAACATCTCTGAATCTGTGTGGTGGTGGTTAGAACTTTTGTTTTTGGCTTTTAAACATTTTCATGGGACTAGGAGAGGAATTTGGGCGAACCAGTATAAAACATATAGATAAAACTGGGCTTTGGGGCTGGGGATTTAGCTCAGTGGCAAAAGCGCCTGCCTGGCAAGCGCAAGGTCGTGAGTTCGGTTCCTGGTACCGGAGAAAAACCAAAAAAAA